TGTGTGTGTGTGTTTGTGTGTGTAATATGGTATAATAAATAGACTGCTGCAAAAATGCAATTTTTGCTGTGTCACTTACATCAGTACATTTCTTTTGTACAGAGGGTGGGTTTCCTCCCAAGCAGGGAGTTCCAGGAGGATGTAGTCTGGGTTACTCTGGAAGACTCTCCGACGTTGCCAGAAATCGACTGGAAAATTTTGACCTTCACCCCTCCTCCAGACCAAGACAACAGTCAATATCGTAAGATGGTTAATAGCATCTAATCTGAAATCATTGGAGATCGTTTTAAATGTCGTATTTGTCCCTTTCTTTATCTAATGAGCCAAACTCTTAAAGTTTAAAGCAGTGCAATTAGTTTCAATGTTGCTATGCTGGATGAAACTAGCTTGGGAATGCTTACTTTAAGTTGGTAAATATTTCTTGAATATTTATAATATTTGGGTTCAGACCTCTAAAAACTGTTTTGTCTTTCTTGTTAAGGCTAACAAACTTCTCTTAAATCTTGCTGTTCTAGCGGGCCTTGATTTTGATGCTTTGCTGATCAAACCAAAGGAGGTTAAGGATGGAGTGAAGCTGCCTCTTATCGTCATTCCTCATGGTTTGTTTCTTTAATTTTGATTTTTAAACCATTATTTGTTTTCAGTACAGAGACAAAATCTGAATATTTATCAGTTGTTGTTTACTTAGAGAAATATACCAGAAAAGCAGAATCAATATTGTGAATGCTCTGTATTAATAACATTCATGAAACACAGCTACATTTGAAAGTAATAACCCTGTGATACTAATCCATTTTGGATTTACTTTTAGGATTGAATCTGTTTTGGGATTTGTTTCCTTTCAGTCGAGAGCTATTGCTGATAAGATTGTGGTTGCTATGACGATAGTGCGCTGTTCTGATACCCAAGAATAGTCTTTTATGACACAGCTTGTAGTCCATGCAGTAGTAATACTGTAACTCTACATGCATATTACTTTCATACCTCACTATGGTTTGAAACACTCAGGCAATCGTTTTTAACACAAACTCAACATTTATCTCACTAGGTGGCCCTCACTCAGTGATAGTGGCTGAGTGGGGTCTTTCCGTTGCTGTGCTGTGCAAAATGGGCTTTGCTGTATTACTGGGTAAGTTCTTATAAGAATGTGAAGTAACTAGACCTGCTAAGAGAACAGTCGTCCCTAAATTACTTTAATTTAGACAATGAAAACATGAACGATCCTCTTTCTCTTTAATATTTGGACTGGGGCTGGGAACAGCAAATTCAGGGTTTTTCCTGGCTCAAAATGGGCACTTGTGGGGTGACTACACATGTAGCCATAATTCAGGGGTGTTAAACTCAAATACACAGTGGGCCACAATTCAAAACTGGAACAAAGTTGCGGGCTAACGTTAATATTTATTGAAATATATTTATTGAAATATATTTATTCCTCCAGACATAAGAATGAATCTTTTCTTATGGACTCAAACATGTTTTGCTGAAAAACTGAATATGGAACAAGCAAAGCTTAATACTAAACAATATATATATTAGCTGTATAATACCAGTAGGCCAGCTCTGATAGTAATTTGGTATGGCTTCGCGGGCCAAATGTAATTAGGCTGAGGGCCAGAGTTTGACACCTATGCCATAATTGGTCACCATGTATATAAGGCAAAACATATGCATTAATGTACTTAACACAAGTCTAAGCAGCTGCCTCTTATTTTAGAGAATTTGATAAACAAAAAGTGATTTCATATGTTTATATTAAACGTAGTTCTGGTGATATATTTATAGATGGACGGCCTCTTTGGTTGGCAATATAGTTTTTTATATATTAGAAAAGTCTGTAATCTGGATTTTGTGTCCAGTCATTTCTGGAGTACTTCCACTCGCCACAAACAGAAATATCCAGCACTAATGGTTTTATTATTGCAAGATTAAAACAATAACCATGTCACTTTACCATTTTCCCCCTCAACATTTAATTATTACATATCACAGTTATTGTCAATACATGGATATCCCAATACCCCAGTTTGCTTTATACTTTTAGTGAACTATCGTGGCTCCATTGGATACGGCCAGGACAATATCCTCTCACTGCTGGGCAATGTTGGCAGCCAGGATGTCAAAGATGTTCAAGTAAGTGTCCATAACTCTCACAATATTTTTCATGTCATGGCTTTGAATATCTTTACATGCATCAGTTGTTTGCTGCGTGGTGATAGCTTTGTTTACATGACTGAGTTAATTGGTTTGGATATTTAGTGGATGTTATTTGCGATACATTCTGTTTAAAGCTCACAGCTCAGTTCAGTTTTCCCTCCTTTTGCCTCCTTCTCTCCTCTTACTTTTATTTTGCTTGGTCCATGTGTCTTTGAAATGATTTACATTTGTTCTCTGCTTTTGTCGCCACCAGTTTGCGGTTGAAAGTGTGCTGAAAAGCAGCGACCTCGACGTGCAGAAAGTGGCCGTTTGTGGAGGCTCTCACGGCGGTTTCCTGGCCTGTCATCTGATCGGACAGTACCCAGAATTCTACAAGGCTTGTGTGGCTCGCAACCCTGTCATCAACTTGGCCTCCATGATTGGCAGCACAGACATACCAGACTGGTAGGTCTTGTCATGCACATTCTCACACTTTTGCCCACATTTGTTTATGCATATTTTTAGGGAACTCATACGCAACCGCATAACTGTGGCATTGTGATACTCCTTCTATTCAGTTACGACAGCTGGAAGTAAGAATGGGCAATAAAGCCAAAGACATTGAAACATTACTGGGGACTGGTCCTGTAATTGTAAATCCAATTACATAAAAGTGCATGTATAGCAAATCTAATATCCTTTGACATATCGCAAACATGGAGCAAGGAAAAAAAGGGGATCAGTATGTTTGCAAAGATCTCTCATATTAGTGTCACATGAAAATGCCAACAGCTTACATTACACTACTCTAACACAACAGAGGAAGCACAAACTTTGAACTTCCAGAATCATGCCAAGATTAAAACATTAACAAAATATCGTTACGATTTATAGCTCGTAATGATCTCAGCTTGGAGGGAAGTGTTCCAAATGTACACAAATACAAGAGGAACAGAAAATGGTGCAGTCAAGCAGTCACATTTGTGTTCCTTTTTTCTCTGCAGGTGCATGGTTGAGGCTGGCTATGACTACAGTACAGACTGTCTGCCTGACCCTGCTGTTTGGGAGCAGATGCTGAATAAGTCCCCTATTAGGCATGTTGCACAGGTATAACCTTGAAAATCTCTTGGGTTTGTGGATATGTCTTTGTAAGTGTTGTTGGACAATGAAGCATGAAAGGTGTTTTCTGATCTAGGTAAAGACGCCGGTACTGCTGACCTTAGGAGAAGATGACAAGCGTGTACCTAACAAGCAAGGAGTCGAATATTACAAAGCACTCAAAGCAAAGCAGGTTCCCGTTCGGTAAGTGGCCTCCTGAGTAACGTGTTTTATTGCTTATGCCTGATATAGACGGGATAACTGGAGTCTTATTTTTGTCTGTTGTTCATTCAGTAATGCTCTGATTTGTGTTGCTTAGGTTACTGTGGTACCCGGGGAACAACCACTCTCTTTCCAAGGTGGATGCTGAATCAGATGGCTTTATGAATATCGCTCTGTGGATAATTCAACACCTGAGTCTGTGATGATACAGTTCAGATAAAAACACCGTATAGTGATTACGTTGCTGTTGCTGCCATGAAAGGATAGAGTGACACTTGCACACTGTGTAAGGATGTTACGGTCCTGTTCCTGTTTCAAGGACAGTGTGAAGTTCAAACTTAAGCCAAAGCATTAAAAGTGCTCTCCCACCAGAAGGCACTTTGTCTAAACTCTGCTTTACTTGTAATCTTTCTGTGGGTGTGGTGCTTTCCACTGAATGTCCAGTAAGTTTTAACAAAACACTTTTGATTGACAAACATTTTATTGATTGTTATTACTTTATGTAATCTTTACAATCTGTAAAGTCAAGGGCTTTACATCGTGTTGCTTGTGTTAAAGTCAAATCACTTTAGGCGACTTGTTTCATATTCAGTCTTTTTAAATCGTGCCGTTTTGATTTCATTCACCTAATAAAGTAATCGTGAACTCACCGTGGTGTTTGAATTTTTACATGTTACTGATTGAGAGCATTCCTGAAACTAGTACTGAAATCGAATGTCATTTCTTTTTTTTAACAGAACTTCTAGCTACTTGAGGAAGTCTTTCAATTTTTTTCCACCAATAGGAAACCCCCTATAAAGTGATAAAATGTGGCTATTGAATTCAGAAGTGATTGTCATGGGACAAATATTCTTTTGTGAAGTTTGGGGGTTTTATCTCCCTTGTGAGTTTAAGAGGTCACATGGTTTGCATCAGACTGCTTTATACCTGACCACCTGCTTTCACTTCTGCATAATGAAAACTGCTTCTTGTGTGAGCACAGTCATCCTCTTATAACCTGCGCTCTCACGATGCAGACTTCACGCGCTGTGGTAAGTGACTTTTCATTATATTCTGTTTGAAAGTCATGCTTCATTTTAGGAAGTCTGAACTCGCAGTGTAAACATTTACGTACGTGTAAACCTCCTGATAAGGCTGTTTTAGATTTACGGTACTGTGCGTAAGTCTTGAGCCACCTCTTATTGTTTAAAACCGCGCTTGTACGAGTCAATCTTTTTTCTCTCTGAACTCTCTTAGACAAGCTTTCTTGTCATTTCAGTGATTTTCAGCCCAGTTCTTGTGTGATCTGGCATATCTCAGCCTTTTCTCCCTGCTTTCCTAACTAAAGAATGGCTACTTGACATCCCCGTATTTCTAAAGGGTTTGACTTTCAGACACTGCACCACTTCTTCTTTTGTCCAGTTCCTTTAAATGTTTTAAGGACACACAGAGATGGGTCAGTTTTTTACTTAATGGCTCTCAGAGAATCACCTCGTTGATGCAAAAATACTATTTTATACGTTTTCTTTGCCGTGAAATTGGTTCTTTGTTAAGTTGTCAGTTATGAATCTGTTATTTCATTGTCCTTGGAAGCAAAATGTAAAGAAATGAGGGGTTGTCCAAGACTTTTGCACTGGACTGTAGGATGCAGGTGGTGTTAATATTTTATTATGTATATTATATAGTATCCTCAAACTTTTTGTAAGCAACTGAATTTAATTTTGTTGACTTTTTTCAGGCTCTGGTGAAAAATATCCTCATCCTATGCCAGCTTTTTCCACTGGTGAAGACCATAAATACAAAATTTTTACCATGTGACACCAATCTGAATGAAACTGAAGTTGACTGCAGTGACAGACCACTCAAGTACGTCCCCTTCATTAAGGCTACATCTGTAGCTTACATAGATTTAAGCCGGACTAAGATAAACAGAGTATGGGTGCATGCTTTCACAGGTGTCCCAAATCTGCATACTCTAAAGTTATCAGGCAACTGTCAGCCGGGCAGTCTGAGAGCTCTGGAAGACAGGTCTTGCAGAGTGAAAATCTCCAGGTATGCTTTCAAGCCCCTGCTAACACTGAAACATCTGGATTTGTCAGGAAACAGTCTTGCCTACATACCATGGTTACCAGCGAGCCTGGAAGTCCTTCATCTAGAGAACAATCAGATCTTCAACATTATCTACCCTCTAAAGACTCCACATCTCGAAAAGCTCTTCCTTAGCAAGAACTGCTTTTATGCAAACCCGTGCAACCAGTCCTTTTACATCAGTGAAAAGGTTTTCCAAGAGCTCCCCAAACTCAAAAACCTCACATTAGGGTATAATAATTTGACAGCTATCCCTAAAGGACTGCCACTCTCACTGGAGAGTCTGGATTTAAGAGAGAATACAATCACAGAAGTCTTAGAGAAAGCATTTTTCAAAATGACTGCCCTGGAGGACTTAAATTTGGAGTGGAATTGCCAACGTTGTGACCATGCTGCAAGGCCCTGCTTTCCATGCCCACGTAATGAGTCTCTAAAGCTACATTCAAACTCCTTTTATTCTGAAAACAGCTCCATTACCATCCTAAGTTTGAGGGGAAACTCTCTGAAAACATTTCCAAAGGACCTTTTCAGACCATTGAAGAAACTGAAAGTATTGGACCTCTCTGACAACCTCCTCGCACATGCCATGCAAAATGGGACCTTCTTTAAAGAGCTAACAGGGGTCAAGTGGTTGAGCCTTATCTATAACTATGAACCACTGAAGACTTTTCCAGAACTTAATCTTTCCCCATATTTTAACAACATGTCTGATCTGCAGTGTCTTCTTCTGAGTGGTAACTTTTTCCTAAAATTTTCTGATGAAAGCGTTGAAGTCCTCTCCAAGTTAAAAAGTCTAAGAGTTATAGAGCTGAGAATGAATTTCATTAACACTTTTAATATGACGTTTCTCAAACAGTTACCCTCTCTAACTTCTGTTGACCTCTCCCAGAACATGCTTAATTTCCTTGAGTGCAGCTCAATTTCACGACCTGGGATTGTGGATGTAAACCTGTATGCAGGCTCTCTTCATAATCAACCTCTCACTCTAATGGACAGAGACGTCACATCTAGAAACAGTGTATGGGAAACAGACCAATTAAATGCTTTGGAAATGTTAGAAGACGGTGTGACAGATATCCCAACACTATTGGGCTTCCAGCACCGAGCAGATGTTCTGGACAAAAGGTTTCCAGTAATTACATCACTGTGGGACTTGAGAAATTTTCATTGCAAAGATAAGCTGACATTTGACCTGTCTCAGAATGATATTGTGTACCTTAACAAACATGTGGTTTCAGGCATGGAGAACGCCGTTTGTTTAGACCTTTCCTTCAATTACATGAACCAGGCACTGAGGGGTGGGGTGTTTGAAGGTATGACACATTTAGAGTTTCTTAATTTGTCTTACAATAGGCTTGATCTTTATTATAATGATGCTTTTGGGGAACTTAATTCATCTCTGAAGATATTAGATATCAGTAACAATGACTTTCATTTCAATATGAGGGGCATGGGCCATCGTTTTGAGTTCCTTGAAAATTTGAATCAATTGGAAGCTCTAAGTCTGGCAAACAATGCTATTGGGATGCGAATCAACCAAAGGCTGATCTGCAATTCTCTGAAGTACTTTGACTTCTCTGGAAATCACCTGAACATCATGTGGGACTCTGACAACAACAAGTACACTAATTTCTTCCAGAACCTGACAAACCTAACCTACCTGGACATCTCTAACAACCATTTAAAATCGCTCTCATCTGAAGTGCTGAGTAACCTCCCAAGTAGCCTTAGGGCTCTCATCGTCAGCAGCAATGCTCTAAACTATTTCCCATGGCTAAACATCTCTGCACTTACCAGTTTACGTTACCTGAAGCTGAATCACAACTTCCTTTACAAACTGCCAAATTATGCAGTAGTATTTGGAGTCAATTTTACCTTCCTGGACCTCAGTCACAATCGGCTCAGTTATATTCCTGAAGATTTCTTTAATAATGCAAAGTCCCTAAAACATTTGTATCTCAGTCACAATCAGATCAAAGAGCTGAACCGGGAGCATCTTCCTGTCCTCTTTAAAAATGGCACTCGCCTTGAGAATCTCACCCTGCATGCCAACCCCTTCAAATGTGACTGCAATACCTCCTGGCTCGCTGACTTCTTGAGTACTACACCGGTACACATTCCTTATCTGACCACAGATGTACGGTGTGAATTCCCAGAGTCTCTGCAGGGTGAGAGCATACTGTCCATGGACCAGCGTTCTTGCCAGGACATATATGGTAGTGTAGCCTTTGTTGCCTGTTCATTAATGACTCTGGTGTTTACTGTTCTTCCTTTACTGAAGCACCTCTACGGCTGGGATATGTGGTATTGCCTGCAAGTGCTCTGGGCTGGACACAAAGGCTACTCCCAGATAGCTGGGACCGATTCGCATTATCAATATGATGCCTTTGTGGTGTTTGACACCAGTAACCAGGCGGTGAGGGACTGGGTTTACAACGAGTTAACTGTCAATCTGGAGAACTCTGGTCACAGGAGATTTTGTCTGTGCTTAGAAGAAAGGGACTGGATTCCTGGGCTGTCATGTATAGAGAATCTTCATAATGCAGTACACAGGAGTGTGAAAACCGTTTTTGTGCTGTCCAGAGGTGTTGACGGAAATGTGAATGGTGTGATCCGCCAGGCCTTCTTCATGGTTCAACAGAGGCTTCTGGATGAGAAGGTAAAGCAGTAAAATCAGCCTGCATATTTTCACATATTTTGTGGCTGTAACTCACAATCCTAAAATTATCCCCAATTCTGTCTCGAAAAGGTGGACGTAGCTGTGCTGGTTCTGATGGATAAGATTTTTCCCAAACTGAAGTACCTTCAGCTGAGAAAACGGTTGTGCAGAAAGTCTGTGTTGTCATGGCCGCATCACCCATGTGCTCAACCCCTGTTCTGGAATCAAATGAGAATGGCGTTGTCATCAGATAACCTCAAATTTTATGACAACAACATGAGTGAAAGTTTTATATAACTTACTTTTACATGTTAGCAGAGACAATCATGATTACAAAGATCTTCATATCGCTAAATATTAACTTGACCTTCCATTAACATGCTGTCACATACATTTGGTTGGTGTTATAATTTTATTAACTCTTCCATGTATATGTTGTATATATTGTTCTTATTCTTCTGTTGTTTTATTTAAAAATTGGTTTCTCTGGGACGTTATTTGTTGTTATTGTTATTATAATCATTTGGATGTATTAGCTTAAATTTTCTTGATTTTTTTAATTTATTTTCCTTTGGTCCAGTGGTTTACAACATCTGTATTTGTATTTGCAGAAAATAATATCAGCTTTCCTTTCCGTTATATTTTGTCAGACGGAAGAACTTTTGATTGTGTTTGTGTAGCACCTTAACCTGTAATTTACCCATTTTATTATATGTACTTTGCTCCACACGCTTAAAGTCATTGATTACTTTTTCTGCAGTCACGATGCGTGGGCGACACAATGGCATATCTGCTATAGGCTTGCGTGAATGCGCACAATTTGGTGTATCAAATATTTGTCTTCAGACCACATTCACGTTTGGGTTGCAGCATTAACCAAAGCAACGATATAAGAGAGCTTGACTTGATTTCCCTTGAGTGGCTTGATTTCATAAATACCTGCTTACCAGCAACACTGAGCCGTCTGCAGAATTTTACTTCTCTTCCGTTATGTTAAGGGAGGAAATGAAACCAGCACTTGTTGCAGGTTACAGATCACTAAGGACTTCATTATCACCTACTTAAATGACCTATTGTTTCTGTTTGTTTAATGAGAAAACAAAATCACGTCACGTTTTCATCGTCTCGGTTCTCTCGCTTGGCGGGATCTCTTTTCTGAGACCGAAACCAGGACCAAACACAGTTATAGTTACTCACTGTAATTTCTGGTTTATGGTCTGTTGAATGCAAAATAGGATCGTTCCGAACAGCTGCACTTCCCCGATACATTTCAAAGAGCTCCTAACTGCACTGTCACAAGTAATAGCCCGGTTTTACCAATCACATGGTGTGATCTTAAATGATGTCTCCACATCTACTTCAAGCAAACTCACTTTTGTCTGTGTGGCTCTTTTGTTTAAAAAACCCAACAATATTAACTTCCATCTGCTGTGTAGTGAAGGGAATTTCAGAGCTTTGGCTTTGCGTAATACCTTCCAAGTACCATTCCCAATTCATGATTCATAGGTATATGAAAAACAGGAAACCACCCAATCATGGCTCTTCGCGCTGCCCCACCACGGCGCTTCGTCGCGCACGCGCCAGCTGGGAGAGCGCGCCCACGCGGACCCGATGGCAGTACAGGTCATGAGCTGAGCTGCTGAGATCATGGAGCCTGCGCCGAGGTCGGACAGGGTACTGATGGGACTTTACAGTGATGGAGAGGCACCTGTACGGTAAGCTCGGGCAAACATTTGGGTGCGCACCTGGACTTTGTCGAATTATTAAAAAATAAATAAATCCAACATGAAAACATTATTTCAACAAATTAAACTGTGTGCTTTTAGTTTTAGCGGCAGATTAATTATTATGTAAGGTACGAGTCCGAACTCATGTAGCCGTGTGCATACGAGCAAGAAACTAATCCGTCATGCGGTGGTCATAGTAGAATTATGCTCCGTCTCTGTCGAGGCTGCCCAATCACATGCACAGCGACAGTTTTACTCGTGCCACGCATGGAATACGGTTAGGTCTGCTCGGTAGTTTTTCCATTGAGGTGGCAGGATGTTGAGCTGCAGGAAAAGCCTTCCACAGGATTGTAAATTATCATCCAGAACAACCGATCTATGCCGTTGCAGTTCGGGCGGTGATTCGACTTTTCTCTTCGCAGCAACAGCTGGCTGCAAACTCAGAAGTAAGTGCAGCGGCTTGTGGACCGAAATGGAGTGAGGCGTTGTCTACTTTATTTCAGAATTCCGCTCTTCCTTCATCTGTGCTTTCTCATTGTGCCGCTATGGTTTGACGTGGGAGCGTGCAGCTGCGTAAACTTGGCGCGTCTCCATGAACATGGACCGGTGACTTGTGATACCTCCATCTTAATGCGAATAATGCAAAAGGGCAAAGCTTTTAATAGTAGCTTACCAAGCTGCCTTGAGTAGAATTTAGAATTGTTTAGAGCCTGTTTGTAATTTTATTATAATATCTAATTAATAGAATAACAATATTTACTAATTATTGGCCACATTCCTCCACTGAGATACCAGAAGTACACACAAATGGGTACCACTGAAGGTTCATGACGCTAACTTCATTGTCTCCACAGTGGATAAGGGATTGACAGCTATGTTATGACTGACAAGAACACTTAGCCAATCGCTCAGTTGAATCCTGTGTAGTGAGTCCCAGCACCCAATCCTCATGGATTAGAGGAGGGATTATGATGTGGATTTGCCTCTGCAGATTTGCAGACAGGCCCCCATTGTGGACTAGGATGATGCTGGGGTGCACTTACTTTGATATGGATATAGTCTTAACATGTGCTACGGTGTCTCTTTCTCTCCAGTTTTAGCTGGAGCCTAAGGCACAGGTATGTTGACAGCCTAGCAAAGCATAATGACAGATTTGCAATTGCACCTGAGGGACAGTTGGTAAAAATTGTTGCATTTTCCCATGTTCACTGCAGATTACACAATTTTGTTTTCCCTGCAGGCCTGAACCAGCGTGAGAATCCCAGCACTTTGCAATAACTAGAGTTAGTGCTGTCCATGGTGCTGAAATGGTCATACTGGTCCACCTTCTTCCTTTTTTTAAAATATTCTTTCACGATCTACCGTGGTGACTGAGACTGTGGGAGGTTTTCTAAATATAATGAGCGAGAGTGTAGAAGTAGCCTGTAGTATACTGCACCACTAATGTGCAGTCTGCTTAGAGACATTTCTTTCCTGTCCTCACATTGTCACTCTCCCCTAATAAGGAAGAGCGAGGATTAGGGAGTACTTCAGCAATTGTAAGTCAAGTTGTAAAGCACTTTGGTCCGAACTCTTTTCCTGAAGAATCACACTAATCCTATACCTTTGTGTAAAAGGTTCTCTGGGGAATTAAATGTTTAAAATGTTCATTAAATAATTGCCACAAACCATGAATCAGCCTGGCTGTGACCAGAAGTTCAGTTGACAGTATTGTTTGTTATATAGGTGTTGCTTCTAATGCTTGGTGTTGATTAGGTAGTTCTTGATTTAAATCATTGGTGTAATTTTATTTATGTTGTACAGCTGCTTGTGTTGATGCAACCTTTAACTGCCAAATCAAATTGGTTTTAAATGATTGTCTCACTTTCACCTTTCTAGAATCCATGATGTCCTGCACTGTAGCTGAAATTACAAGACCACTGACCTGTGTGTCTGCGAGACCTGTTGCCAACAGTGACTGCTGCTTTCCTCAAATAGGACTAAATAAAAGTCAGCCTCAAGCGCTAAACAATCAGTCATGGACAGGTGAACACTGAGAGGCCAGTACGTGGCCTTTACTTACTCTGTTATCCACAAAGGACATGAGCATTTTCTCAGCTTTAACAGTTTCTTTTCAGATGTTGTATTTTGCCATGTAAAAAAAAAGAAGATGCCTTTAAATATTAGAGCCAAGCCCACACAGAGCAAGCTTTCTGCTGCTGCAAAAGGTAGTGGGCACACCGATGGCAGCTCATCTCATTCACGCTTCTCAAGGTCCCCTAAACACGGGAAAGGCAAACAGGCTGTAAGCTCAGCACCAGGGGCCCGTTCAGGGTTAGAGCCAGGCTCTGTGTCAGGAGGTGTGCCTGCAACACCATCTAAACTGACGGGGGGACAAGGGTCAGTGTCAAGGCCAGGTTCAAAAATCAAAGCTGAGCCAGAAGCAGGCAAAGGGTCAACGCGTGGTTCAGCGACAGCACCAGGGGGTAAAACCTTGTCTATGGAGAATATTCAGTCTTTGAGTGCTGCATATGCCACATCAGGTACTATGTATCCCAGTGAGCGGGAGTCCTTGGAACCCTCTGCCGGGTACCCCAAAGGCACCATGACACTAGGTAGAAGTACCAGCCGCTCCTCCTACACTGGCCGGACGACAGCTACGGGAAGCAGCCCAAACATCACATCTTCTGGGATGCATCACTTGTCAGATCCTTGTGGAGACCAGAGTTTTGTCTCTGGAGGAACTTCTAGTTTACGGCGGCAGTCTGGAAGACTCACACAGATAATGAATTCGACTGGACGTGGAGAGGTTTCCACATTTGATCTCCATTCTCAGCTGAGGGATCTGCAGAGAGAGAACAACAACCTGCGAAGAGAACTGGAAGGAGGTAGGGATGGAAGGACAGGCCCCAGCATGAACAGCGTCAACTTTTGGAGCCCAGATGTAAAGAGAGAAAAGGGCGTGAGGCGAGAGGAGGCAGCGAGGAGCTCCACTGTGAAAGACCAGTACAGGACAAACCAAGAAGATCTGCAGGTGAGCTTGTTTCAAAAATAGCTGCATAAAAAACAGACATTTTCTCCACTAAACACAACTGTTTGACACTGTTACTTCACATGAAAGGTTCTCAGTGTAACACCCATAAAACTGTTGCTGTTATTGATGGTGAACTCCTGTCAGTCTTGCTTGTGGCTAGCGTTAGCACTTGCCAAATCAGCAATGAGACATTCATGACACAGGTCTACACTGATGTGTTGGCTAATTGCCCCTGCCCTCCATCGCCCACAGCTCGACTGTAGAAAGCAATTTTTACTTAAATCTTTGGTTTGTACTGTTACATAATTCAGTATTGGCTAAATTCAACACTGTTTAACATATTATATAAGCTTGGGTCATATTAGCTGGTGAAGTCATTTGGCAAGATAGGAAACTAGCATTTTATAATGTGTTAGCTGTAATGCAGGGGTGTCAAACTCTGATCCTAAGTGGGCTGGATCGCTAAATGTCAGGCCTGGTCAGATTTGACCCTTTGTCAGGTCATTTAGCTGTAACGTTAGCAGCTAGCTTTAACGTAACTGCATGAATCTGGGGATGCTAAGTTAGTAGCATGACCTTATTTAAGCCACAAAACCAGACGGGGGTCCCATGAATTAAATGCCTCAGTCACATCCTCTTTTGGCCAAGGTTACTCGAGCTTTCTTATTAGGTAATTATTTAACACTGGTTGACCTGCTAACATGGATTAATTACCTGCTATGTTACATAGACAGTGGTCCAAAATCTCGCTGACAGAGGTGACCCCGAAAGTCTGGTAAGGTTGTATGTTTGAAATGATGTTACAAACTGTTCAGGCATTAAAAAGCATTAAAAGTCAGTCAACAGAAGCCTGCAAGTATCTGTTACAGTAAATGCTGCATTTTTGATTTTACTTACTTAGTTCTTTAAAACGACACTCTTTAAAAAAGCCTGAATGGTGTCTGCTCGCACACGCCATTCAGGCTTTGTGTGCTGACCCACCCATCTCCTCTGCATATCATGGCCCTCACTTCACTTCATACCTTTTGCTTCTGACTTCAAGGTTGCACTGAAAGGCGTCTGTGCAGTTCATTTATAATGATGTTTGCGAGGCTCCTTGTGTTACCATGGGAACGTGCACTAGTGGCATCCACTCCAAGTTTCTAAAAACCTCACATCTACTCCTGAAGAGACCGTGACTGGTCCTGTGTCTCCTGTCCCTGGAGTGTGGTCCATTCAGTTCGAGGCATCATCCATTTGTCTGCCTCACTGAGCAGCTACTGTATCTATTATTCCTTTATCTGAACTCTTTGTGCTTTTCATCCTGACAGTATCTCCATTTGCTTTTTAAGTTTTTTTTTCTGATGGAAACACCTTAAAAGTCGTTGTATACAACATGAAACTCAGAGTCTCTCACGCTAAGAAATTGCTTTAGCAACTCCCAAATGTTTGTATTGTTCTTTTAACCAAGCAAAAACCTTGATCATATCTTCCATGTCTCCCATCTGACTCCTCCTTCTTGTAACCAAGGAGCCACCTCTGCATTCATATTTATAGCTTTTTTCATCGCACATTGTCACTGAGTGCGAGGACACTGTGACACATACACGCACACCTACACACGCATACACGCATTCTTCTCATTTCGAAAGCAGCAAACTTTATAAAATAAAGCAGACTGTGTTATTTGCACAAGTCACGCTGCAGCACCCTGCCCTCAAGTGAAGCTCGTGGAAGTTAATATAAAGAAAATGCTCATTAGCTGTTGCTGGAGCAAACCGTTGGACTTGATCACGCCCTGATTTTAAATCTGTACAGTATTTTTCTAGTGAGCGCAATAATAACTTTAAAAACCTGTCGCCTTGTTCTGTCTTACTCTTACTTGCGCTGTCCCCGAGCAGCTACTGATGCACACACCTAGTTAAGCTTCACCTCATCACAGTTTTCAGTCTTGACTAGTTATGAAATTCCTCTTTTTGTCTCTCCCTCTTGACCTTTACTATAACTCATAAGGCTCACAGCCCACGTAAAACATAACATGTCAAATCTGAAAAAGACTTATTTTAAAAAACCTGCTTTTAGAGAAAAAAGCAGCCGTATCACAGGAAGATGTTATTCTTAAGCTTGCTAATCTCCCTCATCGCCGCTGTCTCCCCTCCCTTCTTTCTGTCACTTTCCACTCTTTTTTCTTCATTTCTCCTGGATGTTTTCTTTCTTTCCTTCTTGCTCTTTGAGAGACAGTGGAAAGAGTTCAGTCTGGCATGAGAACTTTGTTATTAGCATAAGGAATGTCACCTCTTCTCTCAGCAGTGACCAGTTTTGTCCCCTAACCATCTGCCTGTTTTGCTTATGTTTGCGTCGGCTGCGTGTTTGTGTGTGCAGTTGCACGTGTGTATTTGTATCTTGGTTGTGTACGTGTTTGTGTGTAGGGCTCTCCTCCCACTCCGACTTAATATTCAATGCTTGTTGTTGCATTGATTATCTGTGTTCACCCTCGGCTGCCTCCTACGTCTCCACTCCGTGTCCTTGGCTCCCTGCACCTTCTGGACTGGAAAGAGCTGAGAATAACTGAGTAAAACACCTTCACACTGATTAGAAAATTGTAATTTAACTTTCTGATAAATCATTGTCTGAATTTTGTAAGTTGCTGTTTGTGTGTGTGTGTTTATTTATACGATACTTTTTTTTGCACAGTTACAATTTCATGTGTCTTTTTAAGCACTGATTGAATTTCCAATCGAAAATCAGGAAGCTAAAAGTAAACAAACATAATATATTCTGTTCTTTTGCCTTCTGTGCTGCAAAAGCAGGAATGTCAAAAGAAATTGGTTGCCCCCAGCAACACACGGACAGTTAGCGGTTAGTTGTTAAAATGGTAAATATATCGGCGTATTGGTTAGTCATTGCAGCGGAGAACCTCCGCAGCCTTACGGTTATGAGTTCAGCAAATTTTGTTTAAACCCACAGAATTTATTTTAAGTTCCAGGTT